CTACCATGAACAATAAACTCATTGTTGATTCCCAGTTGTGTGTGCACATGTGTACATAGCAGCTCCTTTCATAGAAAGAAAAGACATCTAGAGGTCGCCTTGTACTTCACCTACAGGAATCATGATAAGATATAGGATGGATACATGTAACCAGGGCTGGAATTTATAAGAAAAAATAATTAGCTGACAAATGAGGGCAGCAATAAAAAAGCGTCTTTTTTGCAACAATAAATAAATACAGTCAGAAAGGTTTCTGTGACTCTAAGCAGCTTCTTCACTGAAGAGCAGACGTGGCATTTCCACGGAGTTACACTTGACCCCATAGTATCTTTTTTTTTCTTGCTTTTTCTTTTTTTTTCAATAAACAAAAGTTTCCTGCTTCTGCCACAACAGTAAAGCCATTTGCTCTTGACAAGACAATGGTGCCGTGGACTTTGCTTTTCCTTTGTCCGTTGGACAAAATTGGCCAAGAATACAATTGGACTGTTGTGACCAATAGGAACGAGGTTACGGTCAAGTCTTGTCAGGATAGCCTGACTGAAAACATCTGGCGCTTTAATTTAAATAGTTCAGACCACCAGACTCTCACTGTGTCTCGCTTAGTGACACGCTGAGCTCTAAGGAGCGGCAGACTGCAGCTTGTTGTTATGAGACCTACAGAATACAGAAAAGGGGACAATTAAGCACCCTTCATTTCTGAGACAATGATACTCTATGTGGATGCCAAGGCCAGTCTGGGGAAGCAGCCCTGCTCGTTCACTCACCCTTGGCAAGCATTATAAGAAAATTAACAATTAAGAAATCTTTAAGCTATAGTATTAAAACTTTTCACTGTACAGTAAACATAGTAGCTCGCTGGAAAAAGCCAATGTTTAAAAATATATGTATATATAAGTGAATATATATTGTTTATTAAGATTACACCATTTTCAACAAATGGGACGAAGACATTTACAGAAGCATTACTGTAATAAAAGGTGTGTGTGCCTGTCTATTTACAGTGATGCAGGAAATGGAAAGTTCTATCAGAAGACAGGAGCAATATTAACATCACATTTTTCAACTGAAGTCCAGAAAGTCCTTTTCTTTTCACAGTTTCATTCACAACTCTGTTAGTAACCAAATTACTGTACAGGTAGCAGGGCTGACTCAGCACTTTATATTGCAATAGCAGGTAGGTACGGCATCCCGAGCATTCACAATTCTTTAAACACATTGTCCAACATGGCTGCCAGAATAAAGTTTTCACGTATCTACACATCTGTATTTAACATTAAAAAATTATATTAACTAGTTTCAACTTTTGGGAGGGGAATTTTGAATTAGGCAATCACGTGGTACAATAAACAGTGACCCAAACATCCAGTTCTGATTCCAGTTAAAAATTCAGACTAAAGATATCACAATCTGTAAGAAAAGAAAGAACACGGATGGTATAAATGAATCAGAACAAAGTAATGAAATAATGTGCACACAATCTTGGAGATCACAAATTAAAAATGGAAGGTGTGGCCAGGGACATCGGAAACGGAAGATGGCGTAAGGACTGCCTGCCCTGTACCTGCCTAAGCCAGGACAACAGAAAGAAGCCTACAGAGCACAGAACAGCAAGGAAAGTAAGCAGCTTGGTGGCAAGATGTCCTAGTGGTCCCTTAGGGCTGGGGGTGCAGGTCAGTGTTACCTACCATATGTACTTAATGAAGCCCTGGGTTCTCTCTCTCTCTCTCTCTCTCTCTCTCTCTCTCTCTCTCTCTCTCACACACACACACACACACACACACACACACACACCCTCGTAGTTGCTAAGCCTCCCCCTATCTTCTTCAAATCCTTTTGTTTTGCTGCAAGCCCCAGGACTGTCAAGTCTTTCCTCTCCCTGCACCCTCCCTCTGGGAATCTCCCTGCAAATCTGGCACCAAGGGCAGCATTCAAGCACCCAGCTTTTAGATCCCAGCTCCTTCCAAAGGCCTCCTCAACTCTGAACAAGAATTCCATCGGACGACTAACTGCACAAGGCACGAATGGAAATGCCCCCACCCCACAGGCTTATGAAGGGAACAGTGGCCTCTGCTCTCCTTACTGGGCCTGCAGCAACGGTGTCCTCCTCCATTCCATAGCTGCGCTTCTCCTTTCTTCCAATTTAATTTTGCTTTGGCAAAGGAGAGGTGAGCTCACCTAGCCACTCTCCCCCTTCTCTCCTTGAGCCCACTTGACTCCCCTAGAAGGTCCAATTCTGTCTTTCACTGACCCCCCTTAGGCTGACTCGGGCAGCTGAGGCTCTCGGGACCCTGCTCTTTCTCTGCAGCACCAGCCATTTCTGAGAAAGCACTATTCCTACCCTCACTCCCTTCCCCGTTTTTGGTTAAATTCACAGTGGAGGTTTTTTGAACTCCAACTAATTATCTCATGTAAAAACCTTTGCTCTCCCTAGACATTCCTATCTTGGGCGTATTCCATTGTGGTCTTCTGATCTGGACACTCTGTTACACATATTGTTACACATATCTGTTAGACATATTGGCCATAAAATAATCACTGTAGGTTTCAGGCATTCTTGGTTGGTTGCTGGGACCTCTTGTTTCTTGGACTCAAGGCCTGGTTTTCTTTTCTTCTCCTTTGTTTCTTGAGACATGGTCTCATTCCATAGTTGAGATTAAAGACACACGGCACCAAGGCAGGAGTCACCATGCCAGGCACTCAAGGTCCTCCCCCCGCCCTTCCCCCCCACCAGGGTTTCTGGTGTAGCCCTGGCTGTCCTGGAACTCCATGCTTAGTAGACCTGAATCAGAGACCCACCTGCCTCTGCCTCCCTAGTGCTGGGATTAAAGGCGTGTGCCACCACCGTCTGGCTAGGTCTTGTTCCTTGTGAGATCGTAACCTGTGAGGGCCTTTCCTTACACCAGTACCCAAGTGTCCCGCTTTCACTGTACTATTTACATCTGTACACATGTAAACTGACCACATTTCCTGAAGGGCTGGGATAGTCTCCCCTTCCATGAACATGGATCACCAGTCTAATCCTGTTCTGTTCTGTCTTCTGGAGGCTTTTTTAGCCTTGCCATTTAGAAACGTTACAGCGCTGTACATGCACTGGCTGTTTCTGCATCTGTCCTCCTGCCCTGGCATGCTGGCAGTGTTCCTCAATCTCCCCACAAGGATGCTGAGGTTCCTCACTCCGCAGCATCCCTGGGGCAGCACAGAGCGGGTTCTTGATGGCTGTGCTCAGTGAATGATGGTGCTAAATGGGTTTACTTTCTGACCAGAATCCTTGGGTAATTTCCTTTGTCTTCTCTAGAATAAAATTATTTCATAATTTTCATGATGTGAACTTTCATCACTTACAATTTTGTCTTTTTCCAATAACCTGTCCACCAGGATGTAGGTGCAGTGTGCTTGACAGTTGCTTAGGACACGATACAGGGGTATGTGCTGTCTGTAAAAAGTTCTTGTTCTTTCTGGACTCTATTTTTCTGCTCCACCATGGACCTTTCCTTTGCCGATGCATGTCTGGCTGGTCTTGGGTGTCTGCCAATCTTCAGAAGAGGTGATACCTGGCAGGTACTGTGGATGAGTTCAGAGCTCCCTGATGGGCAGTTACTTCTCTGCTATTTGAGACAGAATCTTGCTAGGTCTCCAACTTGTGATCTCCAGTGATCACTCTCACTTTAGATGAAGGACGAGTTTTTAGTGTCCCTCGTGACAATCTGGGGATGGTTAATTCTTTGTCACGGAGGCTGGCCTGCCCGGCAAAATCTGGCAAGCATCCTCTCTGGCCTCCACACACTAGATGCCAGCACCACTTCCAAGCTGCTTTGATTTTCTATTGAAATCTGGAATTTACATGTGTGGGGTTCTCTGGGCAATATGCTGGGACCTCTCCTGAATTTTCTAGAAGAATCTGAATTAGGTTTGCACTGGACTCATGAGCTGATCTTTCCCCATCTGCTCACTACTGATGAGATTTCAGTGTTCTCTCTGTTATTATCTTTTAAAATATTCCTCTACTATACAAGTTCCAACACTCTGTCTAAAATGCAGTTCGCGGTAACCACCTACCTTGCCCCAAGACCTTCCTCAGAGGGAGATTCCCAGGCAGAACACTGAGTCAGTGCGTGCAACGGGGAGTGACCCCAGGGCCTGAGGAGGCACGCTAGTGCTGTCACTGAGCACCACTCACGGCCCACAACGCTCATCTTTTAGGAATGCCTTAGATAACAGATGCCCAGGCTCCAGCCCACCTAAGGTCTACATGTCCTGCAGGTCTGGGGCTGAGCGAGCAGGCAGGTGGTGGACATGGTATGGTGACATGGTATGGAGATGGTAGCAGGGAGAGAGCTGTGACCACTGGAGAGGCACCAAGCCGTGTCCACAGGAGGAAAACTTCATGGGATTCAGATGGGGTGGAAGTTGAGAAAGACACAGAAGGGCAGAAGGTCACAGTAACAAAACTTCATGCACAGTTGCTACAATGTTTTTAGGGTTTAGAAAAATTCCCAGGACTAACTAGTGTAGCCTAGAAAACACACTCAGAAACCATCATTTGATGACTTCTAACATGCAGCACACACGACTCAAGGAGAGTATGTAAAGCCCTCTTGCTGGCTGTTTCCTTGGGTGGCTAAAGGGCAGCCAGAGCCCTCCCTGCTGGTCCCAGGTCCTGCAGACAAGATTCCCAGGGACGGTATTTCACAAAGTGACTTCACTTTAACCACATTCATAGACACAGGGCTGCTCCCATCGTGAAGAGTAGACCATAATGCCATTGTCTTTTTTGTTTCTTTGTTGAGACAGGGTCTCACTATGTAGCCCTGACTGGCCTTGCACTCTCTAGGTAGACCAAGCTGGTCTTAAAACTCACCAACTCCTCTGACTCCTGAGTGCTGGGATTAAAGGTGTACACTGCCACGCCTAGTGTAATGTTGCAGTCTTGACACTGTACGAATAGTATTTTTTTATTTGAAGGAACAAACTTACTATGAACACTCCACTGGCCAGTCCCTCAATAGGACAGTACAGAGTCTGGAGCAGTGATTTACGTCAGAATACTCAACACCATGCTTACCTGCTAGCCTTGAATCCTTTTAGTTTCTGTACAAAGAACGACTCCAGAACTTCTGCGCACTGGTAAAAGGGGGAGTCGCTGGGGTTGTAGTACCGGCAGTTATCAAAAATTTTGGTCATATCTGCCACGAACTCTGTCAGCTTTTCATAGTAACGCTTTTGTATCCTTTCTTCCATTGTGGCAAGGTCTTAAAGACACAAAACATAAAATATTTTCAAAGTTTTACGGTTTTCCCAAGGAGGTCATGTCCTGCAGCTCTCATGAACTCAACATGTGTGTTTACTTCGATCCTTCCGAAGGCGCTACTCCACATCTGGAGGCTAGTGTGTGCAGTCGAGGCCGCCTTATACTGGTCAACACTGTTTCTGTTTTGACTTCTAAGACACTACTCCTGGCTGCTGCTGAGAAGGTGCTTTCATTTGTAATTAACTACACGGAACAGCTGCCATTCAACTGCCTTTTTTTTTTTTTTTTTGGTGTTTAGAGACAGAGTTTCTTTGTGTAGCTCTGGCTGTCCTGTAGACAAGGCTGGCCTCAAACTCCGACATCTGCCTGCCTCTGCCTCCCGAATGCTAGGATTAAAGGGATGCATGACCCCGTCCAGCAGAAATTGTTTTATTCACAGGGTTTCTCTGTGTAGCTCTGGTTGTCCTAGATTCACTCTGTAGTCCAGTCAGGCCTCAAACTCACAAAAATCCGCCTCAAGGTGTGTACAGCCATCACCATCACGCAGCTTTTCTTTATCTTTTATAGCATAGTAAAATAGCAAACACACACAACTATGCATACTGGATTCTGAAGGAGGAACACAATGTAGAATTCTGAATGCCATCTGTGGTAGGGGCTTTATGATCTTACATTAGGCTCAGTAACACCATGCCGGTTCCCTCAGCCCTCAAAGCCATCTTCATTTTCAAGTTACTCTAAACCATCTATAAACATTTTTATATACATTTTTAGTAAAGATACAACTGTCTCTGGGAATGGTGGTACACAACAGTAATTCCAGCACCCAGGGGGCTGAGGCAGGAGGATTACATGTTTTGGGGCATCCAGGACTAGAGTGAGAACCCATTTCAAAACAAGGGAGTGAAGATGAATATATTTTATTGCTTAAAACCTAGAAACAGATGGCAGCTGGGCTACAGAATGCAATGTCTCAGAAACTACAAGGCAAAAATAATTTTGAAAGTTGAAGTTGGTTAATAAATTAAGTACTATTCAGTTTTAAAACACCACGTGCGCTGGGCAGGGGGTGAGGGAGTCAGGTCCCTCTGTGCTACAGATGGTGCTAACCACATGCATCTTTCTGGGTGCTGGGCCTCAAACCTGGGCCCGCTGGCAGGCGGCCAGCTCTCCTAGCCTTTGGACCATCTCTCCAGCTCCAATAAATTCAACCTCTAAGCCACACAAAGATGTCAGCAGAATCACTGTTCTGAAGAGACCAACAAGGAGATGGAATCACCGACCGTCCCAGGCCTCCAAGTCTGTAAGGCAAGCGCTCAGCCCTCGGATGGATTTCACTGGTCTTCCCTCCCATCCTCTTCATGTTCTCCCTTCTTTGAAGGACACTTTATTGGCTTTAAAAACACAATTCTTCTATCAGCTGGAGGGAATGCTTCAACGGTTTGGAAATTTTTCTGCTTTAGTTTTTTTAAACATCTTCGGCTGGAGCATTATTGTGAAATGCAACTGCACACAGCTGCCCTCTTGGTCCAACCAGTTATAGCTTGTCTACTAGTGGTTTTTCTCCTGGGAAAGGCTCTCCATTCCCTTGGCTCTTTCTCCACTGGTGGTTGTCAGATCTGCTTGTCCATCATCAGGCTGGCTTCCCTGACCCCACCCATTCTTTCTACAGCTGTACAGCTCTACTCAGACAGGGTGTGACTCAGTGACTCCTGGACTAGTGCTTCACTGCATCTGCATTTCCAGTGTTATGCCATCACAAACACTGCTGCTGTGAATATACACTTGTCCCCATGTTAAGTTGCTAGCTCAAAGGCATGCATATGTAAATTTCAATAGATATTCTCAGATCACAGTGGTACCTTTCTGTAACCTCAACACTTGGGAGGTGCAGGCAAGAGGAGTCTGAGACAGTTTGGTCTAACAGTGCCTATGAAACCCAGCTTCAAAAGCTACCTCTGGTGACTGGTACAGTTTACACTGTCACCTGCATGCCCAAGATACTCTCCTGACACCTCAGCATCATGGACGATAAGATGCTGCCCACAACTCCTGAGAAGCATGTTCCTATTCAGCTCAAGCACTTACCCATTGGCTCTTTAATAACCCCGTAATAATCGGGTGCATCATTGGGGTCTACCGGTTCAAGGAAAGGCCAAGCCATCTTATGGGCCTACAATAAAGAACAAGTGTTGTTATCGCCAGCAGAAGTTCATTTTACAAACACACACACACACACACACACACACACACACACACACACACACACACACACACAATTCAGCTGACTCACTGGATCAAGGAAGCCTGAGAATTTGAGTCAGTTTTACATTCAAAAAATGAAATTGTTTACACAAGGTGACTCAGACGGTCATCACAAACTTTCTTAAAACGAGCACGATTTACAGTCACAATCCTCCAAGGTGGCTCTGGTTTGAGGCCCCTGGAGACAGGTGTGGGGTACCAGCAAGAGAGTCATGACGCCTACCCTCTGGTTCCTGCTGGCACAGTGGTCCCTACAGTGAGCTGGGGTGAAGGTTCCGAGTGTGCAGTGATTACCACTGCCGGTAACGAGGTGGGAGGGCCGGCTGTCAAACAGCCACCCACTGGGACTGACTTCCCAGTTCCTCTGACTCTGTGACTGCGGCTACAGCAGAGATTTAATCCAATATTCTGTCTTGACTCATCTCTAACACTCCCAATTTTCCCTCCTCTTTCATTTCCAGTGAGAGAATAATAACCAGACTCGAATCAAACTGTTTTCTCATCTATGCCTATGAGATACAGTTTTCTTTAAAAGCAGAACTGGCCGGGCGGTGGTGGTGCGAGCCTTTAATCCCAGCACTTGGGAGGCAGAGGCAGGCGGATCTCTGTGAGTTCGAGACCAGCCTGGGCTACAGAGTGAGGTCCAGGACAGGCGCAAAGCTACACAGAGAAACCCTGTCTTGGGGGTGGGGGTGGGTAGAACTGAAGGGAAACCAACGCCCTCGACTCTATGGCGTTAGATAAGCAACAATCGGGAAACTCATGGCACTGGCATGTGCCAAAGTGCACTTCGTCTAGCCCTTCACACCAAGCACTGGGAGAGAGCCAAGTGTGCTCACTGGAGACTGAAAAGTTCAAACCCTAGACATGTCTTCACAGTCAGGCGGGCTTGGTCTCATCTTCAGGTGCCACCTGGGCAGCCTCTCACCTGTAAGGAGCGCAGCACCCTCTTCAAGCCCTCGTAATCCTTCTCTGTCAGTGGTGTGAGCACTGTCATGGCATCCTCTGTCGACTGGCACTGTGGACAGACATACTCATCAATGAGCTCTGCCTCACTCTGTAAGATGCCAACACAGCGCCCGTGGTACCAATTCTGACATCGATCGCAGCCAATATAAAATCTGCAAGATCCAAAATGGAAATGTGAGGCCGGAAGAACAGGCTCCTTCTGTTTAGAATTCACCTTTAAAGCCATCATGCAACTGAGAATTGGCTAAGCCCTGGGGATAACATAACTTCAGAATGTCTTGAGATTGACATTCTAATGTGTTAGCCAAGTACTTTAGATGTTAAGAACAATAGTAAACATGTATTAAAAGTATATGTACTACTAAAGAACCAATTTGAGGAAAAAATGCAAACCATTTGATTGATTTTAAAGCTCAAAACAAAATAAGGCAAAAATAAATAAATAAATAAATAAAAAATCTTTCACTAGCCACAGCTCATCCCAAAGGGTGCTTTTCTAGTCTGTAACAGAGCACCACTTCAGACAAGGTGAAGGCCCACAGTCAGGCTGTTTTCATCACATTACTTTCTATTACATATTGAAGAATCAAATCTACTGTTATAAACCACATTTCCCCCAATGCAACTCAATCATTCACTAGGAAGCAACATACATTTTGAAGAAGAGAGAAAGAGGGAAAAGAGAAAAAACACTGGAAAGGCTTTGTCATGTAGGTGTATAACACACACAGCAGAGAGGCCCTGCTTTTCATTTTCAGATTAAGTGACCAGTTGAGCAATGCGGCTTCCTGAATTGTCAAACAGATGCTCTTATCAACTCACTGTGACTCATCATAAGGTGTCCTGCAGATACAGTACAATTCCTCACTGCTGCCCTCTTGTGCCCGCTTACAATCATTACAGATGTACACATCCATTTTCTTAGCCTCCTTTTCTGTGATGCCAACACATTCTCCATGATACCAGTTAGTACAAAGATCACAGCCAATATAGAACCTAAAAGTATTCACAATGAAATGACAATGTAGTTGTCATTTTGAGCTGCATGGCATGTAAACCTGTCTTCCCTACCCTGGTTCACTTTCTTACAGGGTAATTTCTGCAATGAGTCAGCTACACCCTCCAACTCCAACCGTCCTACCAGTGGCAAACTACAGCATCTGACACTGTACCAAGGGTGGACACGTCATCACTCACATTGATTTCAACAGACACACTGTTTAGTGAAGTATGGGTCTTGAAAAACATACTGGAATTTGAAAAAAAAATTAACAACACACCGATGGTAATGGCTTCCTCTTAATGAATGTGTGCGAAACTGTAACAGGCACAAAAACCAAAGCCAAAGAATCAAAGACTTACACCTGTCAAACCTATTCTGCAGAAGCCATTTCAATGAGGGCTATTTCTTAGATAGGTTTGAAAGTGAAGCTCACATTTACAGCTGGAACGAAGCGAAGCGCAAACACCGAGAAGTGAGAGCATGAGGAGCATGCAGGCAGCCGGGGAGAAGACGAGTGGTCAGAGGAGAACAATGGTGACAGGAGAACCAGGAGGGCCTGTGCGGAGTCACCCCTGCTCCCAGAGTCTGGGGAGGGGAGTGTGTGTCCTCGAGGGAAGGGGACATCGGGTCTCGGGGGAAAGTCACAGCCGTGGGAGGGGCCTGTGTAGGACTGCATTGCTCACAGGCCACCAGGCTGGCCTTGCCACCACTGGTACCCGTGCAGGCTATCAAGATGTGCTGGTAAAGTAAGCTAGAGGGATGCCTCCTGACTGCAGGAGTAACACACAGTGAGTTGTCAACCTCTTCCCAGTGACCTTTTCTTCTGCACCACGACTCCCTCATGCCCCTGCCTCAGGGGAGGAGCTGGAGCACTTTCGAGGTTGCCTCTTTAAGGTGCTGTGTGCTCTGGAAGGGACTTCGGGACCTGAGTTCAATTTTCAGTAACTCTCCTTAGAAGCTGGTGGCCCAAGGCTCAAACCAAGCTGGTTTGGTCTGAGGTCACAAAGCACTGATAAAATACTACTTACTCCAACTAAGACGGGGAGTGAATGAACCTGCAATGTTGAAATGTCAATGGCAAACTAAAAAAAAAGGTGAAACAGCCACAAAATCAGGGCAGTCTCAATAGAATGAGCACATGTACACATGTACCTCACTTTAAGCAACATCAGTATCCCAAGAAAGTTGCGTGGAAATGATCTGTGGAGCAAACACTTTATGTCAGCGCAAAGCTGACCTGTATATAACGTCCCTCATCCTCGGTGTGTTTCAGGAATCCTCTAGTGGGTTTTACTTAAAGCGAGGCACACGTACTTGTACTGCATTCCGGGGAGATTAGTGCACGGGGCGCCACTCTCGACATGATGGACAATCACCAATGAAGGACACACAGCGGGAAGTGAAGACGTTTCCACTCTGCTGAGTTCAACAGGCAGCTTGTTCCCAGCAGAGTTTCCACTGGACATTTGCAAACTGATGGTGACTGGGCAGCGCCACTCGAGCCGAGGGACTTCCCTCTCACCACAGACTTTCTAGTTCTAACCCGTCTTTTAAAGCACAAGTCCACTGTGGGTACTGAGAACACTGACGTACATGTGCACGTTCCAGTCAGAGTTAAACACTGACGAACAGTGAGGACCAAGGGGGGGGGGGGGACCAAGAACATATATTTGGACTACTATCTCTAAATCTCATTTATGTCACCAAATACAAGTCATGACTGTCAAAAACAGCTTCCATTTGCTGTGCTCACCAATTTTTGAACGTCAAACTCACAAAGTAGGTAAAAGGAACACTTTATGTACCTTTTTTGGCTTTTGTTTCCAATAAGACAGTGGAACTTGGACAAAAATAGTGTTGCTTTTTTTTTTTTTTTTTTTAAAGGGAACCGATGTGATGCCTCTGCCACCCATTTTGGGATGGACTCTGGGCTTCAGCCATCACAGATAGGAAGCCAAGAGTGCCACGATGATGGCCTTCTGCAAGATGCAGTGCTGGCAGCTTAGGAGCACGTCCACAAAGAGCTTCGGGAAGGCAGAGAAGCCACAGCAAGCTTGTTTTTGACAGAAAAGGACATTGCTGAGGACAAGCAGGACCCATGAGCGTGTGGACAGCCCCTTACTGTACTGTGTCAAGGCAGGTGTCTGATGCAGAGGAAGCCCAGCCTCACACTGGCTTGCCCTCACCCATGCTGCCAACTGCTCACTCAACAACTAGGCTGGGGAAGCACTTACTTGGACTCGTCGTACGGTGTCTTGCAGATGCAGTACAGCCTGGTGTCCTTCTTGGCCTCCTTTGAGGTGGTAGAGATCATCTTCTTCTTCTTGGACTTGGAGTCCTTCTCCTCCTCCCGCTTCCTCTTCTGGGAAGCGACAGGCAGTGGAGCTGCGGGGTGGCCTGCAGGCGGCAGGCTGTGTGCCAAGGGAGGCGAAGGAGGAGGAGGAGGAGCTGCAGGGGCTGCCGGTGGTGGTGCTGGCACTGGCGCTGGCGCTGAGGGTGTGGACACTGCCGCAGCACCGACCGGTACTACCTGGGCCATATCTTTCTCCTTCTTCATTTTCAGGTCTCTCTTCAGCTCTTCCTGTGGTCAGTTAACACAGACAGATGATCACCAGGGTTACATGCAGGAGCAACCTGGGCAGGAGCTGGACATTATCCCCACCTGCCAAATAGCTCTCCCTACCGCCCCCCTTTTCACGTTCTTTCTTTCTCTTTTTGGGTCTCTGTGTAGCCTTGGCTGTTCTAGAACTCCCTGCACAGACCAGGCAGACCTCAAACTCAGAGATCCGCCTGCCTCTGCCTTCTGAGTGCTGGGATTAAAGGCGTGCGCCACCACTGCCAGTTCAAGTAGCTCCTCCTAAGAGAGTCGGTATAGGAACTAACACAAGACCCAAAACAGTCTGGCGGGCAGTGAAGAGAAGAAGAGAAAGACTGTCCTTGTTTCCCAAGCATTGTTTGGGTTTAAGAAAGGAGATCTAGGCATAAAATACACTATTTTCTACTTGGGTGCACAGTGCTAACAGTCAAGGGACAGAGCAAGAGGATCACAAGTTCAAGGCCCTCCTTTGCAACACAGCAGGTTTGCAACTAGTCGAGCCTATCTGAGACCTTGTCTCAAAACAAAACAAATCCCATAACAAATAAACAAACATCACCCAAAACAACACTAGTTTCTCTAAACATGGCTAGCCATAAATTAGGATCCTGGGCTCGTGAGATGGTTCAGTGAGTAAAAGTGCTTGTTGTTAGGGTCCCAGAGAAGTCCCACAAAAGAACACCATCCATGTATGCAATCAGCAAGAGCGCTTATCTTGAGAAAGCTTCCATCATGCTGGGGCTGGCCACCCCACACAAAGGCAAGATGGCGAAAATCCCGAGAAGTCTGTGTGGGCTCCTTTTGAGCATAGCCAAGGAAAGGTCCTAGAGCTAGTAGGTCATTTTATCTACAATTGGCTTAAGCAAGTGGCAATCATATTAGTACATTTTAATTAGCCAGGGGTTAATTTTAATTAGCTAGAGGTTGGTCAGGGGTATAGGTTTCCATTTTGGGGCAGGCCTGGATAAGCCCCAGGCTTTGTCCTTGAGATGCTGTGGAGGCTGGCTGGCTTAGTATGCACTGATCGTGGGTGCTGGCTCAGTGGCCCAGGCTTGGTACATCCTATCTCCCTTGTCCCTGTGGTCAGGGGCACCAGTGATTAATTGTCCTTTGTTTGTGGCTCATCCTCAGAAACTGCCTGTCCAGTCTCAGGAAGAAACTGAAACTGAGGCCTGATCTCTGTGAGAGACTGAGCAGTAGGTTATGGCATCTGCTCGGTTCTCTCATTTGTCACAAAAGTCTGATAACCCAAGTTCAATGCCCAGAATGGTAAAAAAGCAGATGTAGCAGCTTACATCAGCAATCCCAGCAATCCTACAGAGATGATGAAAGGCAGGGACAAACACACACACACACACACACACACACACACACACACACCATTTTCTAGTCAAGGATACACAAAGAAACCCTGAGCGGTAGGGTGGGGGTGGGAAGAATAACAAAAAAAGTCGGGTGAGAGGTGCAGAACCTTAACCCCAGTACTCAGCAGGCAGAAGCGTGAGGATCTCTGTGAGTTCAAGGCCAGCTTGGTCTACACAGTGAGTTCTAGGACAATTAGTGAGACCCTCATCTGGAAAAACAAAACAAACACACACACAAACAAACAAACAAAAAAAACCCCAACCAAACAACCAAAAACAAAAAGATTGTTATCTGGGTGTGAATCTTTTGTGAGTTCAAGGCTAGCTTAGTCTACATAGTGAATTCCAGGTCAGCTAATGCTACACAGAGAAACCAAGAGCGCTGCTGAGTAAGCGTGCACTCCCCATCTCCTGACCCTGAGTCCAATGCACTAACCATCTCCTGACTGTGAGCACAATGCACTAACCATCGCATGTACTCCCCATCTCCTGACTGTGAGCACAATGCACTAACCGTCTGTCTCATTACTGCTGCTGACACTTTTCTGCCTTGATGAACTGCACCTAGACCTCTGAGTTAAAATAAGTGCCTTCTCCCAACTCTCTTTCTCTCTCTCCTGCTTAAGAAGGCTGTGAGAAGTGCAGCTAGCCTCCTCTTTCAGCCTGCTGCTCTCACTCCAGTCCTAGCCATGCAGTTCCCAGCGGCTCCACAGTGGCTGTGTAAGGCCAACTGCATGGACTCCTTGCACCTCCACAAGGAGTCCTACTCATCCTAAGGAGAGCCTTCCCTGCACATGAGGAACAGGCGTTATCCTAGCATTCAAGAGGCTGCAGCAGGGCTGGAGAGATGGCTCAGCGGTTAAGAGCACTGGCTGCTCTTCCAAAGGTCCTGAGTTCAATTCCCAGCAACCACAGGGTGGCTCACAACCATCTGTAATGAGATATGATGCCCTCTTCTGGCCTGCAGGGATAGACTGTATACATAATAAATAAATAAATAAAATCTTTAAAAAAAAAAAAAAAACCAGAGGCTGCAGCAGGAGGCCCAGGAACTTGAAGCCAGTCCTGGGCTAAAGAGAGATCCTATTTGAAATAAACCAAAGGCAGAGTCATTATGTAGATGTTTATAAAAAAATGAAATGAAAGAAAGAATAAAACAATTGCAAGAATTGCTCTCTAAGACTTCAAAAATGGCAACTGTATTTTTTCCCCAGTATTTTTGTGTTCTGTTTTGCATTTAAAATTTTAATATATCTGAGTTACTTTTTTTTTGAGACAGTTTGACCATGTAGCTCTGGCTGTCCTTGAATGCCTCCCAAGGGCTGGGATTACAGGTGTGCACCACCTCACCAGGCCCTGAACAGTGACTTAATATCAAGCGTGAGGCTGTGATTTACATGGTTGATGCTCTGTGAACAGCTCTCTTACCTGAGCTGTATCATGGCAGCAAGAGTGAAGCTGTCTTTTAAGTTTTCTGATTCTACTGTGAATGGGCTCTCTTCCTCAGGATATTGTGACAACAGTTGTACTCTGTGTTAATACTGATGCTGGCAACCTTAATTCTGTTAAAAAGGTGAGGATGCTTTCCCTGGGGATGTCGCTGTAGTAACTGCATCACACACGGTACCAATTCTGTCTTCTTTCTTCCTCCAACCAACAAGCTGACTGCTGGCCCTGTTTGATTTGTCTTCTGTGGGAAGACACCAGGCTTTCAGGTTATGTAAGGTTGTTTGTTGGTCTGATGGGTATTGTCTTAACATGTACAGGATACCTTATGGGATACTTTCAATAGGCTACTTGTTTATCAGAAAGCTCTGGAAATATGCACGAATTGATTATAGCAGTGCCTACAGGGTCACTTTAAGGCGAGGAAAAATTGTCTTAATGAATGGGCGTTTGTTTTCCTGTGTTCACACTCCTCTGCATTCTTCTGAAATGTGTTCTTGGTGAGTGATGGCACAGACCATAAAAGCCACAGCACGGCTGAGATAGCTCTCCCCGTGCCGGGCGGCGGCAGTGGCCCATGTTTAGTCCCAGCACTCGGGAGGCAGAGGCAGGCAGATCTCTGAGTTTGAGGCCAGCCTGGTCAACACAGTGAGTTCCAGAACAGGCAGGGCTACACAGAGAAACCCTGTCTCAAAAATCAAAAACAAATAAACAAGACAGCTCAGCCCTCTCGGACTGGAGGGAGGAAGACACACTTGGAAAGAAAGGCCTGCCTCATCTCAGAAGCTAAGCATGCCTTTCACTCTCCATGCTACAAACACACGGGTATACACGCAGGAAGGGGCTGCAGCTCCAGGCTGAAGCAGAGATGGGAGGGGAGAAGGGTGGCGCTGCTCCTACCTGCACTTGGATCTGCAGCTCTTTGTCCAGGAGGGCCCTCTTTTTCAGGATCTCGGCTTTGAGCTGCTCCTTGTGTTTGAAGAGCAGAGCAGAGAGCTTGCTGGCGTTCTGCTTGCTCCGCTTCTGCTCCACGCTCTCCTCGCGCTTGCGCTTCTTCGCCGCCTGCTTTTCTTCTTTATCTATCTTATCCAGAATATACTTCATCACCTGGTTACACACAATCATTCTAGAGAAAAACACACAACCTCTGTAACACTGGGGGTTCACCCTGAAAGCTAAGGCACGATCTGTCTACATCCCTAGACGATGGACAAACGGACTGCAGTTTCAAGGAGTGACGGTGAGCCACTCCTGGCATGAAACTTGGCTAAAACCAAAGCCAAACCAAACTGCGCAGTCTCAGGTGGGCCCTGTGTCTCTCCCTACCTTTGATTTTCTTCTCGTTCAGCTGGAGTCATGGTCTTTTTCTGTTTTAAATGTTCTATTACAGCATTATGCTTCATCACCACCTTGAGAACAGAACAAATCCATAAATACACATTTTATAACAGACACAAGTTCAGTTAGCACACAGGTAGAAAAACAGCACACACTAGTGTTGGAACTGGTAAGAATTGACTAATACAGATAGAAAGACCCTGCTAGGTGGTCCCAGGTTCTTACTATGCACCAAGTACTGACCTAAGCCAAGCACTTGACAGGGCTTATTCTCCATGGTAACCTATTTTTTCTCTAAATAAACACTGAGACACAAAGAAATCAACCAACTTGTTTGAGATTAAATAGCGAGTAACGCAGCTCCAAAGGGCTTCACCCACTGGGCATCACAAGAGGACCCTGCCCCCTACAAAGATCTGGAAGACTGGTACTGGAGTTAACACTCAGTTTACAGAAGAAACAATACAAGAGCTGAGATTTGAAGATGTCATAGAGGACTTACGCTCACAGAAATATTAACTTACACCTTCACAATCAGATACATGATGGAATTTAATCCTAACAATCCCATGTGGCTGGAAAGAGACGAGCTTTAATGTAGATACAGCTCAGGGAGAAAACAGTGTATCAGAGCTTGATAAGACTCGAAACCTCTTGCCTAGTACTAACGGGGGCACGTGGCTGCTGGCGGGAGTGTCCTCAGGAAGACTGCAGGTCACCAGCTTCGTTCGGGCAGAACACTAGCTGTCTACAGTGATTCACTGCACCCAGCTACTACGCCAAGATGCCCCTGCAGCACACCACCACCTTACATGGGAGCTATGGACAACCATCTGGGTTTAAGGCATTTCTACAAGGTGTGACAAGTAATGCAAATGGACTCAGTCTGCCCACAATTTGCCTAGTCACAGGCAAATGAAAGAACGGCACTCGCAATCAAATGACTTCACGTGAAACGCTACGCTGTGATGGCGGCCTTACCACTTGGTTTTCTACCAGGGAAGAGTGGTTTCTAATAAGCCCTGATGCTACATGTCCATTAGGGAGTTCCAAACCAGAAGCGGCAAGCAGTGTTTCTGGTCTTCTAAGGTTGCCCACTGGTGACCTTGTCTCGTTCAGGAAGCCTACCACAACCAAAGCACTAAGTCTACCGCACAGCACATAATTCTGGCTACTGAACAGGCTGCTTTGACTCCTTGACTTTCCCTATTTCTGAATGCTTCCCTTTGGTCAGAAGCGTGGAGGGTGTGTCCACGCTCCACTGCTATCTGCTTTGGCTGCTGCTGCTTTGGCTGCTGCTCCCGGAGGTGCTGAACCCTCTGCAAGTGCTCTTGCACACTGGCTGCCTGCACTGTGACCACACTCCGAGTCTGCTGAGTCTGCACAGCACTGCTGTGCTCAACTGGAATGGGTAACTGCAGCTGGATTTGATGGGGCACAGCACCTTGCTGAGCCCGTGTCTGAGAGAGAACCTGGACTCGCTGGAGCTGAGGATAGGATGGGGATGAACCAGTAACTTGACTTAACGTTTGAGTTGAAGACTGTACCTGGGGCTGGGGCTGTGGCTGGCCCTGGGAAGGTGTCTGCAGAGATGTGGGGGGCGGGATTGGAACCGGCTGTGAGGTTGTAGTCTGAACCTGGGGTTGCTGGGCAGGAGTCACTTGGGATGGAGTTGATGGACGTATCCGAGTCAGTGGTGGGCTCTGGACACGAACAGGAGACTGTCCTTGGACACTGCTCTGAGGCTGACACTGTTGCTGGGGTTTAGATGACTGTGTCTGGGAGGCCTGTGCTTCAGAAGGGACATGGGCCGAGACAGCTGGCTGGTTCTGGACTTCAGGCTGAGCTGGGGACTGGGGCTGGGGCTGGGGCTGTGCTGCAGGCTGAGGAGTCTGTGGCTGGGCTTCTGCAGGACTCACACTTGACGACTGAGTGGGCACCATGGTTGTGGCTGGTTGGACCTGGGGCTGGGGCGACAATTTACTCTGTTTTTGTTCCCCGGAACCTGTAAAAAGAAAGACAGAGTGACTTCCTTGGCTTTAGAATGGAAATGGATGGTAAAGGAGGCCTCTGAAGGGATTTCCTGAAGCTCCAGCAGAGAAGAGCTAAGCCTTCCACTCAGGTGCACTCAGACTGACGGGGGAGACATCGCCTGCTGCGTGCCCCCTGCATGTCATCTAGGCGTTCAGAGGCAGGCTCTGTCAACTCTACTCTTCTGCTACGGTATAGCAACAGGTATTGCCAGCTGGTAGAGGGCTGGTAGAGGGCTGGTAGAGGGCTGGTTATGAGCCTGGTGGACTCACTCTCCCTAAGCTCACCTCACTTCTAGCACCCCCACAATAGGGCTCCACCATGGCTGTACAAGGTGTGGGCACAGGTGCCATGGTGTCCAATATCCTGCCCCTCCTTTCTGTGACTCTTTTGTTTGAGTCAGGAAGTGGTCCAGGGAGCCTACGAACAAGGCATGGAGGCACAGAGGTTGACTGTATCAGCAGCGAAGTGGTTAAGCACGCTGGAGACTGACTACTGGGCCCTGGGACACAACAGCCCAGCAACCCAGTGATCTACCTGCTGCTGCTGCTGCTGCTGCTGCTGCTGTTGCTGCTGCTGCTGCTGCTGCAGAAGCAGTGGTTGTGCTGCTGCTGGCGGTCGTGGCCGTTGTTGACAGCGGGGTAAAGAGGAATCGCTGCACGGTACCATTGGGCATTGCAGCTTGCATGAGCTGTTGCCCTGGTCCTGGAAGGACGGTCATCCCCTGAGGTATCAACTGCAACTGTCCAGTAGTTTGACCTTGTCCTTGAATTACTACTGTTAAACCTTGGTTGCCACCCTGTGGAAAAAGCCGATAACATGGAATATACAGCGTTCAAATCACAATCTGTAAAGGGTTTTAAAAAAAATCATTTATGTTACAAAGATCCTTCCCTGCAATGGCCCCAGGAAAACCGAGGTAACAGATTTACGTGGTACAGTGGAAATACGTCAAAACCTCAGAGTTCCTGTCCAAACTCTCCACTGGGCAGCCACCCAGCTACAAACAACACACCTGTTCCAGACGCCATTTAATTAACTCGTAAAATGAGGTGCTGAGCAGGTACTGATCCCTGCAATTATGAGTCTGAGGCCACCCTGGGCTTCAGAGTGACACTGTCTCAAAACTATCCTAATCTGCCAGAAACGCAGGAAAAAACCATATTACTTCCTAAGTTCAGGGAGCATGTTCAGGCCAAAATTCTATTTCAATCAATCAATTAACTAACTAAATTTTGTGAGTTTGGGTGCCACCAGTACCCCAGGGTAACTCAGAACTCACTAAGATTTAAGCCATCACACCTGAGTCTTACTTTATACTACTTTTGTCACGTTATTTTATACTTTTCAAACATCCTTTATGGGGTTGGAGAGATGGCTCAGTACTTAAGAGTACTGACTGCTCTTCCAGAGGACATGGGTTCAATTCCAGCACCCACATGGCAGCTCATAATTGTGTGTAACTCCAGTTCCTGGGGATCTGGCACCCTCACCCAGACACACATACAGGTGCAATATACCATATCAAAATAAATTTTGTTTGTTTGTTTGTTTTGGTTTTTTGTGATAGGTTTCTCTGTGTAGCTTTGTACCTTTCCTGGAAATCACTCTGTAGCCCGGCATAAAAATAAATTTTAAAGACAAACAGGCCGGGGGTGGAGTGGGGTGGCGGTGGTGGTGGTGGTGGCGGCGGCAGCGGCGGCAGCGCACACCTTTAATCCCAGCACTTGGGAGGCAGAGCCAGGCGAATCTCTGTGAGTTCAAGGCCAGCCTGGTCTACAGAGCAAGATCCAGGACAGGAACCAAACTACACAGAAAAACCCTGTCTCGAAAAACCAAAAAAAGCCCAAACATCTTTATATGTGGAATAATTGTTTAATGACGCAAAGATGTGCTGCATTCTTTTATGTTGCATTTGTTTTAACTCTGTAAAGCTGTGTTACTTTGTCTGCCTAAACAACTGACTGGTCTAAGAAAGAGGAGGGGCTGTCAGTCAGAGAATAAATAGGAGGAGAAATTTAATGAAGAGCAAGAAGAAAGTGAGGAGTGAGAAAAGGAGGAGAGGAGGAAGCCAGGGACAAACAACCCAGCCACAGAGCAAGAAAAAAAGAAAGATATATAGAATAAAGAAAGGTTAAAAAGCCCAGAGGCAAAATGTAGTTAAAGAGAAACAGGATAATTTAAGTTAGAAAAGCAGGGTAGAGGGCGGTGGTGGCACACGCCTTTAATCCCAGCACTTGGGAGGCAGAGCCAGGCGGATCTCTATGAGTTCAAGGCCAGCCTGGACTACCAAGTGAGTTCCAGGAAAGGCGCAAAGCTACACAGAGAAACCCTGTCTCGAAAAAAAAAAAAAAAAAAGATATAAAA